GGTGAGCCCCCGACTTCCCCCGGCGGTGGGCTGCCTGAGGAGGAGGAGGAGGGGACGGGTGGCTTTTCAGGCCACCTGGCTGCTAGAGACTCCACTTTTTGTTATATCTGGCGTGTTTTGAAGAGCTGCCTTTTTCCCGGGCACCGGTAGTGTAGTACAAAGTAAATGCGGGGCGGGGGGGGAGGATATTACGATGCTGCTCTGGAAAGTGCTTATTTAGGTCATTAGCACCAGCGCTGATTGCGGTGGCGATCAGTGAAAGCCGCCCACACAGGTCACGCAGGTGAGGGAGGGGATTTACATCAATGTAACTGGCCCGTGTTGTTTGCTGTGGGTTATTCCCGGTAGTTTCTCTGTGTGTTGATAGCTGTCGCTAAATAAGTCTTTGACAAAAGACTTCAAAACCAGTGGGAGCTTTCTTACTTAAGGGACTTCTTACAGAGAAGTCACCTGCTGGGTCAGACCAGTGGCCTGTATAGCTCAGTGTTCTTTCTTTCAACAACTGTAATAGCAGGCGATAATTATAGAGAACTTGTTAGTTTAAGCACTGTGTGTTCCCCGTTCTTGTAATTGCCTGTAGGGGTGGGGATGGTAGGGGGTATGTTCCTTTTTCTATCAGATTATTACTCTGCTGCCCTGAGTTTGTCTAATTCCATGTTGAACCTGCTGACCGGTCTGCTTTCACGGCCTTTTGTGGTAGCAAGTTCTAGACATTCACTACCTACTATATACAGAAGTACTGAGATGACTACCCCAAAGACACATCAAGAAACAGTATTTGCAGGAAAGCAGAGTAGAATTCCTGAAAGGAGAGACAGTTGAATTCTTATTTTTAGTCTTGTTTTAGAAAGGTGGAAAAGTAGCAGCACGAAAAGAGCCTCACAGTTAAAATGTGGTATATGTGGTTGCCATAGGTAAACATTCAAATATTTGTTTGTTTCCAGGGCTGGAAGAAACTTTGTTGATTAGTTCAAAATGTAGCGGCAAGAAGGCCACAACTTTACAGACAGTTAGGGTGCCAAGGAGTGATGGTAAGTAGGACTTTGTTGTTGGAAGAGTGTCAAGTAGTAGGTAACATCTTTGACATAATTTACTTCTGCTTCAGTGCTCTCCTTGCATTCGTAAAGGGGGGCACTCTTGTGTACTGTTTCTGCTGGTGCTAGGTCCTCTATTGCAGTTGCACGTCCCACAGGTTAATCTTACGTCACTGCTGCTTCTGCAAAGCTAGATTTTGTGATGCTAGGCGTTAACAGCTGTTAAGTTTTAGGGACTTAGTTCTCCTTGCAGAAATACTCACACTGTCTGCATATAGTCAACTCGCCAGGTTGTACCTTTGGTCTTCTACTTTCAAATTGATGCAAGTTATGTAGATCACTTTCAGAACTTAATTTTGCCAGCACGTTCATTAAAAATAATTAAGCCAGATTGCATAACCATTCATTCATAACAAATTAATTTGAATGCATTAAGAAAACTTTTTCATTAATCGACCTATGTTCCTTCTTTCTTAGTCAGTTACATATAGATTGCTAACATTCTCTTCAGTGTAACTCCGTGCATAAGAGGACATAGTTTAAAATTGTTATTTGAAAGTAGTGTGGAGTTTTTCTCTTCCTGAAAATACACCAGTTCTTTTGTCTCAGATTGTTCTTTTCCAGCATTGAGTTGTTGCTTTTTGCTGATCTGGGCTTCTCATCTCTTTTCAGAAGTAATTTCTCATAAAATATTTGGTGTATAAAACCATTTAATTTTAAATAGACTCCTGTCAGATTGTTGTATTTTTAATTTGTGATTGACCTGAGATTTAAAAAGGAATAGAAAAAACAATTTGTCATATTGAGTTCTTTCTTGGCTAAAAGTCTCTACAAAGATCACAGTGTTTCAAAGGTAGATTATACCTGTTAAACTTCTGTGGAGGTCACTTGGAATAGTACCTCTTACTTCATGGAGAATGAAAACTAGTGATTCGCTCATCTGCATGTGTGGAGCAGGAGACTATTTGAAGAAACTCTGGAGGCAGGTAAAGATATTCCCCTCCTCCATGGAAGGGAAATGGGTGTGATTCTCCTAATGACACCGATTGTCTTAAAATTGTTGGGAGGTCCCACTGAGCTTGGAGGATAAGTAGAGAATCTGTAGAATAGAAGTCCTTTATACTTGAACCTAGATCATCCGTCTCTCTCCCACCATCTGAATTTCACAGCCCCTTTTGATAACTATGTTGCACTTTCTTTAGTGTAGCATGACATCTGTGGCATCTGTGCTACAGCTAATTTTTCCATCTTCTTTGAGACCTTCAGTCAATACTTTAATAAGGAAGAAAGGAGGACGTAATTATATTTCCATTGGAGAGAATGCTGATGTGGATGTTTCTCAAGATGGCACTCAATATGTGTTTAAAACCATGGGATTTACAAGCAAGTTTTCTGGAAAGTAGTCAGTCACATTTTAAGAATCTGAATGGAATTGTTGAAGTGATTTCTTGCTGCACAACATACTGCCCCATAGCTTTGATATCTCTTTGCTGTTTATGTCTTGGGAGATTGAATACTATAATAAATCCTTTATTAAAACATCTTAAATACGGTAGAGAGCTGGAAATTGCAGTTGAAATGGAATCTGCTTAAATGCTCAGATTTCTGAGGTATCAATGTATAAACTAATGTGCATCTGTTTGTATATATACATGTGATAATTACTTCTTTTTCAGTTTTGGACCGAGTACAGAGCTTTTTACCACAGATGGCACATGCCAATGATGAGCTAAGAAGAAAAATGGTAACAGCACCAGCTCATCAGTTTGATATTGAAAATCTAGACAGTGCAACAGAAAAAGTAATAGAAATGGTAAATACTTACTATATTTTTTAATTTATGAAGTAAATTTAAATGTGATTAAAATAATTCTTTGATCTTAGAATGAGCTAATTTGATAGATGAGGCGAAGTCTTTACCATTTTAGTCTGCGATCTGCAAATTCAAAGCATAGATGTAATAAAAATGCTTATTTCATTAAAATTTACTACTTGTTTTTCATACTTGCAGAATTTAATGACTGGAGATGAAGTAGTTTAAGGCCAGAATAAGACATACTTTTGAATCAGCAACTCTGAATCAAAAGTAAGCCACAAATTGTATTTTAAATGTCTCATGGGTAATTTGGTTTAGAAACTGGACAACATAAGGCATAGTAAGACATAACAGAAGGCTTTAGTATAAGAGTAATAACTGGCTTTCTGCTGTGCTTTGTAGGAATTTTTAGCACTGGCTATAGGTCTTGGGTTTAGAAAAGTTGTTAGTGGTGTTGTGATGCTTTATGACTGGTATTTGTCTATTTATTTAGATTCACATCAATATTTTCTTTCTGTTTTTAACTGAAGTGCTGCAGCCACATTCTCATGTATGAAAATTTTACTATGAAGGTGATGTGCTACGTGTACGTCCCAGACAAGTGCCCTCTGGCCTGCAGAGCCACAACATAAAAAACAGAAATAAGGCAGCCTGGGGCTTGGGGGGTGCGAGCTGTCAGAGTAATTTATTTGCTTCTGGTTGGATTCAGAGTTCTTGTAGGTTGTATCCAGCGTACATGCAATAAGTTGCCCAGTATACTGAAGAATTCCAAATAAATAGTGAGAAAACAAGGTGGATCATGAAAATTATTTGGTTTAATATGCTTAAGTGGAATGGGCAACTTGGACAGGATTTTAAAAAGATTTTGCATGTGACAGTGTCTGAGAAGTATCTTGGCTTTGTAACAAACCTCGTGATTAATAGCATAATGCTATTTGCAAATCACTGAAGAAATTTATTTGCATCTCAAATTCCTGTATTTTGCTTTGCAGCATACAGAAAGTTTTTGAGGTGAGGATTATCAGTTTAAGACAGGTATTTTCAGAGAGAAAAACAGACCTCAAAAATCATGGCTCTGCATATGGAAATATATGATCACATTTGCTTCAAAAAAAATATCCTGGTGGTTTAAACTACTTGTTATTTTGCAATAGCTGTAGTGCCATGAACACTGCTAGGTTATAAGATACGAACTATATTAAGAGGTGTATAACCACAAATTTATATATATATCGTGACCTCTTGTACACTAAATGGTTTCATTTGAAATCTTTACTGGAAATTACAGTTTTGATGGCTCCTGCACATCAGTTTAAATATCTGGACTGAGTTCAGCTATCGACTCATTTCTGTCTTTGATAATGATATAATATGGTGGTTTAACCCCAGCCAGCAACCCACACAGCCACTTGCTCACATCCCTCCCCAACCCCCCTCCCCCCCCAGCAGAACGGAGGGGATAATTGTAAGAGTTGGAAAACTTGTGGGTTGAGATAAAGACAGGGTAATAAGTAAAGCAAAAGCCGCGCATGCAAGCAAAGCAAACCAAGGAATTCATTCATTACTTCCCATCAGCAGGCAGGTGTTCAGCCATCTCCAGGAAAGCAGGACTCCCCACACCTAACAGTTACTTGGGAAAACAAAACGCCGTAACTCCAAACATTTCCTCCTTCTTCCCTCAGCTTTATATCCTGAGCATGACATCACGTGGTATGGAATATCCCTTTGGTCAGTTGGGGTCAGCTGTCCTGCCTGTGTCCCCTCCCAACTCCTTGTGCCCCCCGGCCCTCGCTGGTGGGCCGGTGTGAGGAGCAGAAAAGGCCTCGACTCTGTGTAAGCACTGCTCAGCAATAAGGAAAGCATCCCTGTGTTATCAACATTGTTTCCAGCACAGATGCAAAACATAGTCCCATTCTGGCTACTGTGAAGAAAATTAACTCTACCTCGGCCTAAATCAGCACATACAGAAATGGCCTTATATATGCTATAGAGCAATATAAATTACAATTTAAATATTTAGGAATCTGTTCATGAATGATATTTGCTGTAATCCTAGGAGAACTCAAAAGTCTTTCTCATGGTGGTTGTGGTTTTCTTATGATAGTAGGCTGTTTCATGTGTTTGTTTTATGTTTTACTCAAATGACGGAAGTGGTATAGAAATGTATAATGTGTTAACTCAGTTGTGTTTTTTCCAGAATGTGGCTGTAGTTGAACTGAGTGATTCTGATACAGATGAAGAGATACTAACTTCAGAAGATGACTCAGATTCTGAAGATGACTGTACAACTGATGAAGTGACAATAGACAACATTAAGTTTCCTAAACAAAAGGAAGAAAAGGGCAAAATAGAAATTTTGGACAGCAAAGTGAATGAGTAAATCCATTTTTATTTTACTTTTTTAAAAAACCAAAAAACAAATTGTGTTTTATTACTTTGAAGACTTGCCCCTTAAAACTATCTTGTTGCCCACTGTAGCATCCCTCAAGATCATGTGAAGTGCTATAGTTTACATGGTGGAGAATTCAGGATCCTCTCATGACCAAGGCAAGCTGGATTTCTGAAGAATTAAGTACGTTTTTATTCATCAAACAATATGGAAATGAACTTCATGGTAGATTAGACTAAGAAAGCAGCTAGATTTTGGGGCACTTGAACTAAAGTTAAAATTCTTGTTCTCTTGCTTTGTTGAAGAACGGTTTTTGTAGTGCAGTAGAAGTTTTTGCTTCAAGGGCAGGAAAGAGTTGACTAGAAAAAAAGCTTGGTTTTTTATATTCCGTGGCCTGTGAAGTGTTATGTACAATGTCTTCAATATTAAACATTATCTTAAAGTACATCAGAGGTATGTCTACATTGCATTCATGACAATAACTGTTGAACGCTGAAGCAGTGGCTGTGGCCATTTCAACATGAGCTAGCATGGGTAAGGACAGCCATGACTCAGAGTTCAGCAAAGGATTACTTACCCCCTACGCCTGCACTGAGCTCCGTATCATTACAGGTAGGTTACTAGCTCGTATCTGCAACATTAGTGGCCGTAATGCAGATACTCTCAGTACTTAAATGTTCAAGTCTCCCTCTCTGGTGTTACAATTGCTTTAACCTAAACTTTTATCTCCCACCTTCCCTACCACATGTCTGTCCTCTCTGTTTTGTTAACAACTGTTACTGCCACAAGAATAAACAGGTGAATTTTCAGCTGGCCTGTATTAAGGTTAGCTTGAAAGAATTGTGAAACCGAAATCAGTGAAAGTATGTCTCATTCATACTTACCTCAGATTGATATTTGGGCTGCTGTATTTATTTCATGGTTCTGTTTGCATTTCTGAAGTATCTATCATGCTCCTGGATGTCACTGTTTGTTTCTTAAAGGAACTTTGCATTTTCTACACCATTAATGTCATGACTTGTAACCTGCAATTGTTTATAGAATATTTTGAACCTCATACTATAAACTATAGTTTTAATATCTGTTTCTGCAATATTTGTGATAAGAAATAACAAGGATTCTGGTCCTTCTTTCACAATGAGGCTTCTTAATAATTGAATCAGGGGATGATTTACTGGGATTAACTGATTAAATCACAAAATATTTTAGCGAAGGGGAAGGATGGGAGTCAAAGAATGGGACTGCTACATTTAGTGGCAGCCCACAGATCACATTAAGATTTGGGTGGAATTTCACTCGAAGAAGAGCAAGTGGTCTTAGTAAGCTTAGTTTGTTAGATATGGTCTCAATCTATGGAAAATTTCCTTCAAATAGAACAAACTTTGAAAGCCAACATCTTAACTCAGTTATTTTACAAGAGATTTTCCTGTAGAATGAAAAAAAAAAAAAGGAAGTATGAAATAGAAAGTAATAATCATGCTGTATAAAACAGGGATAACAGTCCATGTGCACAGACTCAAAAGTGATTTTAATTGTTAATGTAACCACCTTTCAAATTGCAGGCAGATCACACATTCCGTATCAACAAAAAGATAGAAAATATTTTCAGTAACTTTAGCTTGATATGCATAGTTTAACACCGATGTTGAACTCTGTATGTACTATACAAAGATCATAGTAAGTGCACTTTCTTGCATTGATTTACTTCTTATGGCACAAAGGTTTTCTGTACTGCTGAAGAATCACCAGAGCAGAATGTTTAATTGCTACTGTAAAACTGGTTTATAGCAAAAATGGCATAATCAGTATGTTTTAGTTCAACTTTAGGAGAAGTCTAATGACTAAGGATTTTAAATGGTCTTGTAAATAGTATGTTCACACAAATAAGAAGTAGGCATGTGAGAACTCATTCTTCAGTTGTATTTAAAAAAATAAACTGAACCATGTTTTTGGTTTTTTTTTGCGGGGGGGGACTGTGCTAATAACTGCTGCTGCGTAATTTAAATAGCTTCAGGTTAACTTCCAAATGCTTTCATCAGTCAGTGAGACTAAAATTTAGACCTGATTTATAGAAACTTTTCCATGGAATGGGTGTTTTGGGTTGGGTTTTTTTTTTTTTAAGTTGTAGTACTGCAGACAGCATATCCTGGGCATGGTATTAAGTGCTTCATGGAGTCATTAAGATTCAAACTCTGCCAAAAGTTTACTTTCCAAGTGAGGCTGTTACTTCAATATTCTACAGTGATAGCCTTGGTTCTGAGATATTCATGAAGAGCTTCTTCACCTGTACAAGCACAATATTCACCAGTTAGAATAGCAGCTAAATGAGAGAATTTTGTCAGACACAGTAACTGTATTATTAAGAAAAAAATTTAAAATGCTTTAGCCAATATTTCGGTCTTTGAGGAACAATGGAAACTAATTAACTTACCCTCCTACTGAGATTTACAGAACTGGTTTGACAAGAAGAGGCCAAACCTAACAGATGTGGAAAGAAAAGGGAGCTGGAATTTAACAAGCAGCCACCTGGGTGGGACTGAAGCAGTGGCAGTCCCTGGATGGCCACTGGGGGCTCGTAGTTGAATTTATGAACTTTGGTTTGCCTATATTACAGTTTCTAGGTAAAGAAGCTGTGCAAAAATGGGTATTTTTTTTCCCCCTGATACTATTACTTGTTTTGGTTTCAGGAAATGTCTGATACTTGCTAGAGATTCCAAAGGCAAAAATCTGTTGTGTCACTGAATTTTTTTTTCTTTCATTTTTCTTTGCCACGAGGCTTGATCTGCCCAAACTTGTAAAGTTTCTTTGACAGACTAGACTTCACTTCCTTTAAAACTACTTTTGAAAAGAAAAGATTTTTTAATGCATCTTTCTCTGTGGCTGTTGGCAAATGTTGTTGACATTTTGAGGCATAAAAAGTTGCCCATGCTCTTACAAGTTTAGAGGAGAAACCTAAGTTAGTGCTCTTTCTGAGGGAAAGGAAAGATTTTGGCCAACACCTTTGCTGCTTGACAGCATTTTGTAGCCTGTACGCAGCTCTGGGCAAGCTGTAATGTGACTGCTCTGAGAGGAGTTGGAGAGGAATATTCGGCTTGCCGTAGCATTATTTAGCAAATGTACAGGAAGGGCTGAACTGGAGGGAATATTGAGGCAAGAATATTGTAGGGATGGGAGAGGAGAGGAACTAGATTACTGTAGCTGGAGGAGTGTAGGAGATGCAGGAAATGCATCCATAGCTGATTTTTTACTGGATACACTGTATCCAGGTAAGGTGTTTTTTTCATTGATTTGAACTGTCAGATGAGAAATGAGGGAGGAAGAGAGCAACTTACCTAAATCTTTCCCAAAGCCAGACTGTTTAAATCCACCAAATGGTGCTGCCACATCAGTTTTGTTATATGTGTTAATAAAAACTGTTCCAGCTTCTAGCTTTTCACTGATGTAGAGAGCTTTGCTTAGGTCTTTTGTGAAAACTCCTGAAGCTAAGCCATATTCTGTGGTATTTGCCCGTCGCAGCACTCCATCAACATCCCTACAGGGGAAAGAAATGATTTAATTGCAACTAGGTAAAATGAACAAGTGTTAGTAACTTTCCACCTTCAGTGTCATTGAAGCACCTTTTCCTATGCTCGCTCTTCTCCAGTTAGCTTTTCTGAAGACAACTTATTAAGGACTAATCTGTGTGTCTATCTGACAGATTTATGGGAATTCATACCTTTGCTTCAAACTTGTAAAGCTTGTAACCTTACATTTCTACGGTTAAGATCTACACTAAGAAATGTCAAAGGAAAAGTTGCACTACGCATACCAACTTTTCTCAGCTACAGTACAACTCGGGGTTTAGAGCAATACAAAAAGGCTTGTAAAGCAGAGCTTGGCAGCAGATTATGAATCAGTTCGCTAAAATTTTAGCCCTGCTTTACAAGTTAATGGAGAATAAGTGCTGAAGCTTAGACTTGTATTGAGACACAACTTCTGTTGAGACACAACGCGCTCAGGCCGTGTCCAGAGTGCTATTTTCTATTTGCATCTCATCTACATATAGCTTCAAAAATCCGTAATAAGTTAAAACTTTAAAAACCTCAATACGGTCCCTTATCACTATACAAAATATATAGGTATGAAGGGTTATCTTTGTGGCTGGTTCTTAACTGCATTATCAAACTGCAGAAAATGACACCTGGTGAAAATAGTTATATGAAGTTTCTATATAGGGTTTTATTCTCATTTGTGTGTAAAATAATTGCTATGATTTGGAATGAAAGCTGTTAAAAATGGCAGCCTACAAAATATACAGAGGGATTTTCATTTGCAACAGTAATGTGCCAACTTTACACAACGCACAACAACGCTATGCGGTCTTTTGTGACAAAGAGAAAATTAAGTGATTCCACTGGAAAAAATGTAATTTGATCAAGCTGTTGCAATTACCGTATCAACTTCAGTAAAAATATTTCAATGAATATATTTTTTATATATATATAATATTTCACTGGAACAGGCTCCCCAGGGAAATGGCTGTGACACCAAGCCTGTCAGAGTTTGAGGAGCATCTGGACCACACTCTCAGTGACATGGTTGGACTCAATGATCCTTATGGGTTCCTTCCAACCTGAGATGTTCTATGGTCTATGAATACTAAGTCTTATTTAAGAACTGGCACTTATGGTTGCATTCTATCCTGTTACGCACTGTTAATAGCATTAGTTCTACATCAATATGGAGCAGGATACCCCTTACTAAAGAGGGTATGTTTTCAGAATTTAGCTGGAAGAGGATCTAGGAATTCAGACTGGTCTTACAAGATTTAACAAAATCATACTACGTATGCTATCATTTCTACACTTAGAGTGAAAACGAGAAAGTTTCTAACAGTAACCAGAGGAGAACATACCCATTTTTAAATTTAGAAATCACCATCACAGGACCAAAGGACTCTTCCTGTGCAATATACATATGGTCTTCAACATCTGTGAATACAGTGGGTTCCATGAAGAAACCTAAACA